CCGCCTGCCAAAGAGCATAACCACTGATTTATTTGAATTTACCCATAACGAGTGTTTAGTGGATACATCTATCAAATTATTGATGTCCTCACTCAATTTAACTTGAGCAGTGGCCATGTCCGTAGGCAGGAACGATAGATAAATTTGGGAATCATCCGCATAAAAATGTGACTCTGAATATTTCAAAACTGTCGACAGATTAGAGGTGTAGATACAAAATAGTAGAGTCCCCAAGATAGAACCCTGTGGTACTCCTGACTTCAAGCCCCGCAGTTCAGATCTCCGAACACCCAATTAATTTTATAGGGTAGACTTCTGGCCATCTGGTAAAACGCTCTATAGCTGTAAGAACAAAAGTACAACCTAATTTAGGTGTGAATGGTCCGATTAAATCTATATGAATGTGTTCGAATCTACCTGATGATAAGTTAAATTTTTGTGATGGCGATTTTGAACTATTGCTTTTTGACAAGATATACACGTTTTGCACCAAAATTTAATTTCTTTAGTTAAGTGTAGCCAAAGGAAACGATTTTTAATGTTGTTTAGCGTGGATTTGAAACCTAGATGAGCTATAGAATGAAATTTATCAAAGATGGTTTTTCGAAGTTTTTTTTGAATGTACAGTTTTGGCCTTGAAGAAGAATCTTCGTACCAAAGATCGAAATTAGAAGATTGACTTTTAATTTTAGATAAATGGTGTTTTCTATTTGTTTTTAAAGATTGACTTTATAATAAATATTGTAGTTCTTTATCGAAACTTTGTGTTTCTTTCATTGTTTTCTCAGAGGGATAAATAGATGTTAAAGAATCGATAGTGATTCTTGATAAAATATCTTATCATTAAAAAAATTACAAGTTTGTCTCAGAACTCAAAAATTAGTGCTTAAATAAATGCTTAATCAGTTAGACTGCTTTATTAAACATGTAATACCTTACAAATTTTTCCTGCACACATTTTTCTTAAAATCAATAATAGCGGAGCCATAGGTATCTAACGATATAACAAAAAAATAGTTTTTTCGAGATATCTAGTTAGCCATGCATTTTATCCAAAAAACAAAAAGCTCATTAAATTGAGTTATTAAAGAATTGCAGTTTCATGCAATTCTTTCCCTATTTAATCGTCTCTCTATCTCCGCTAGTTTTCGAGATCTCCATACTAAACATGGAAAAAAAGTCACCTGTATACCGGGTGTTTCATTTAAAATGACATATGCTTATATCTCAAAAACAAAAACTCGAATCGAAAAAAGTTTCAAGTAAACATTTTTTGGTGAGAAGGGGGACACATAGTACACATGAACTGCATTTTTTCACGGTTGCCTAGAGGCCCTTCTGACGTCATTTTTATTTTTTCAAATAGCACATATACTTTTTTCTTTCAAAGTCTTAAACAACTTGACAAACTGATTTCTTTTTGCTTAAAAAATTTTTTTCTTAAACTTTCCGTTGTGAAGATATCAACAAAAACAAAAATAAAATAACATGTTTCAAAATGTAATTAAAAAAAATTAATTAATAAAAAAAACGATTTAATTAATCGTAAAATAATATTAAAATTCTTCTTCACTTTTGAAATCGTCTTAGAAAATTGATTAAAAAATTTTTTTTTTTAAATGTTTATAAATCGAGTAAATCCTGTTCTAAGCCTTGTTTGGATGTGCGCTAAGTTGCACGTGGGATAAAAATTTCAAGGGAAGAAATCATTGTGATCAAAGCAAAAATGGAGCACTTCTATACTCCACAGAAAATTCAGATGGTGTTAGCTTACGGTGAAAGTCATGAAAGAAATTTTTTCTTCAATGTACTATATTCCGACGAATCCTCTTTCACCAATCACGGCCAAGTAAATCGTCATAACATGCACTACTGGTCACATGAAAATCCTCGTTGGCTAAGAAAAGTTGATCATCAAAAACCTTGGTCAGTTAATGGAATTTTTTGTTGAACGATTTACCGATGGAAGACCTTACTCTGAAGCGAAGACTTGCGCTATGGTATCAGCATGATGGATGTCCATCTTATTATGCTCTAGCCGCAAAAGAAGTTTTAGACGAAATGTTTCCTGAAAAATGGATAGGACGTAATGGAGCGGTGAATTGGCTAGCTAGATCACCCGACTTAACTTTTCCCGATTTCTTTCTTTGGGGTTACCTCAAAGAGAAAGTTTACAACCAGGTTCCAACAACACCAAACGATATGAAAAACCGTATCAGAGCAGCTTGCGAATCAATAACTGAAGAAATGCTTGGCAATGTGCAGAGAACGTTTTCAATGAGAATTCAGAAATGTTTAGAAGTGAATGGTCATCATTTTGAGCATTTAATCGATGTATACAGGTAACTTTATAAATTTTAATCAATGATCTAAGGTGATTTCAAAAATGAAGAAGAATTTTAGTACTATTTTACGATTAATTAAAATGTTTTTTATTAATTAAATTTTTTTAATTACATTTTGAAAAATGTTGTTTTATTTTTCTTTTTGTAGATATCTTCATAACGCAAATTAAAAAAAAATTTTTTTAAGCAAAAAATACTTAGTTTGTCAAGTTGTTCAAGACGTTGAAAGAAAAAAGTATATGTGCGATTTGAAAAAATTAAAATGACGTCAGAAGGGCCTTTAGGCAACCCTGAAAAAAAATCTGCTCATGTGTACCCTGTGCCTCCCTTTTCACCAAAAAAAGTTTACTTGAAACTTTTTTCGATTCGAGTTTTGGTTTTCGAGATATAAGCATATGTCATTTTAAATGAAACACCCTGTATAGTATAACTATGTTTATTGTGAAATAATTAATAACAAATAAAATAAATCCTTTTTTTAAATAACAACATAACGTAAAAGAATACAAACTTTTTGTTACCATATCAAACGCATAAGTATGTACCTACCTATATATTTTTACTGATACATCTACAAAACAAAATCTAGTTTTCTTATTTTCTTTTGCACTTCATCCGACACTTCTTCGGACGTAATTGTTATTGAAAGATAATAAATATACAATACCGTCATTCCATTTAATCTATCCTCACTTATAGTATTTCTTAAATATGTTTGCAACAATTTTAGAGTTGAAAATGTTCTCTCTGGAGTAGCTGTGCTTATTGGCAAGGTGCACAAAATTTCCAACGACGTATAAATATGAGGAAAGATAATCGAATCACAAATTGATAATGCATTAAGGAGAATTGGGAATTTCTTCTGGTAAGCTATTGTAAAATCTTATTTATAAGATCTAAAGAGAGATCTAAGAATAAGACATCTAAATCATATTTATAAAATTCTACTAGCTGTTCAAATTTTAATAGTTGCCCTTCTAAATTTTCAATTTTTTCTAGCGATGAAACTAAACATCCAAAGGCTACTAAGATCTCTTTGTGTGCAATAAATTTCTCATCTAATTGCATTATGACGTTGTCTAAGAATGGAATAGAAAACTGATATTTTGTAATATTCTTCTATAGTTTCTATTTCAAATTTCGCTCTATTTCTTTGTCTAAGTACAAGTCTTGGTCTTTTCAATTGTTCTCCAAATATATTCCACATCAACTGGTTTCCTTCCAGAAATATATTGTTAAAAGATGTGTCAACATTGTTTCGCAGATTTTTTAGTTCGTCTATGCAATTTTCTGCAAGGGAAACTGCTTGAAACAAGTCGGTATTTATCATTTGAAGTAATTTTGGCAAAGGTGGTGTGTATGGAAAAACGGCTTCCATAACTAAAAGAGACAACATAAATTTGGAAGTACTTAAAGAATTTTTCAACAACGTTTCCCCAGATGACGATTTCCGATCTTTCCAAGTTGATATGTATTGTGGAGCAGAAACTGCGGACTCTAACAATTCTTTCATTACAACAATGGAATCTTGTCGTTGAATCCATCGTGTGGGACACAGTTGTTTCAATTTGTCTCGTCTTGATTTTTTCGGTTAACACAGTTTGGCGCTTTGGTGTATTAAACAAATTGTATGCATTTTCTATTATGCCCATACAGTTTCTAATAGGCTATACAGTACTGGCGTCGGAAATAGCCAGATTCAAAGACTGGGAAGCGCAGTGAACATACAAAACTGTCGGATATAGTTGTTTTAATATAGCTTGTACCCTATTAAACTTTCCGCTCATTAATGCAGCTCCATCAGGGGTATGATGGAAGTCCATGAAGATTATTTAAATCAAGTCTATACTTTTTAAATTCTTGAATTATTACATTGGCTAATGACGCAATATTTACAGTAGACTCCATCTTGTTTACCTACCGGAATATATTAGCCAATTATAATTTTGTAAGTACTCCTTTTTAAATTTTCTGAGATATTTGCCTTCTAGTTTAGAAGGAAATTTATAATTTCCGGATGGTGCCCACAGATTTTTTATAGCTATAATTTTCTCTTCGGCTGTTAATTTTTTTAATATAACATCCGCTACGTCATTGTCGGGTGTTGTTTAAATTTTTGGTTCTGAACAAACTTCATTTGATGTTGATGATACATTATCTAATTGAGTGATATTCGAGGTTAAACTGGGATCTTCTGAGCTTTTGGAGCTCTTTGGTTTCATTTGGTTTTGTTCTTTTGATAAAATTAAGTAGACTACTTTGCTGACCAGTACGCTTCATCTTTTTCATAAGTTTAGTGAATCTAATGAAAAATATTAATATTGAAAGATCTGCAAAATTAGGTTTATACCATATTTTTCTCTAATGAAATAAGATTGCAATAACATTTGAGAGAAAAATGGAGAAAAAGAAATTTTACAAAAATAAATTACCAGTTTTATGAAATTTATGAAGATGTGTGGCCTCCTAATTCGACGGTTGTCAACACAATTTATTACTCCATTTGGTTCATCTTCAGCGAAAAATCTCAGGAACACGATACGCTATCGTAGATGTAAACGGTTCTAGTATCATTCTATAAGTTAAGTAATTCCCCGATAAATATTTTATTCATTTGTTTGGAATTAACAAATAACTTAAACAAAATTTCTTTTTATTATTTTTAAACAATTTATTTGATAAGGAAACAACATTAACATTAGGTATAACCGAAAAACATGTTTAAAAACTATCTCAATTTAAGCATAGATTAAGAACCAAGTGTATGCTCCAGTGAAATCATAACCCCTAAGTGTAGCAATGTGAGTACCGTGTATCGAATAGCTAGAAAATTGTTCAATAACATTAAATGATAAGTTTGGATACAGTTCCGTTAAAGTAGTTTTTATATATCTAACTCGTTCCAAAGTAAAATCATAAGTCGCAAGAGCGACTTCTACCGCAGATAGAACGTTAGCTATCATCTCGTCATCCATAGTATGTCCATCGATGACAGTCTAAAAGAGATACAAAAAAAACAATTAAATGATAAAAATAGAATATGAGAAATTCAAGAAAATACAAACATCTTTTGACGACCCTGCTGTTTTGAATATGTCAATTTCTTGCGTTTTTGCACCTTGTGTTAATGGCTTAGCGATAGAATCACTAATAAGGGCCAAAATTCCAAAGAGAACAATAACTTTAAAACTCATCCTGGCCTTCTTTTGTACAGACACCTTGAAGCAACAACAACAACTTATTTTTTTACTTCCCAAAAAGCGAATTAAATAGCAAAAATATTGATTTTTTAAGTAGATATGCTGTACGTGGAATAAGTAGATTACGAAAGTCCCACTTTAATTAATTAAAGATTGCTTATGTTGTTTTTATTGATAAGAATGTAATTTATTTATAATGGCTTTTTAGAAACAAAATTCGAAGAAGAACATTGTTATTGAGTAGGTACAAATTTAGATGTAGATTACTTGGAACTGCCTGCACATAATATATTTTTAATAAATTAAATATTCATATTTATTATAAATATAGTTAACAAGTCATTCGGAAGTCTAGAAAACATACAACAAAATAAAATAAGATTTAAAATAGTCTATGATGAATCTTGTGATCGAAACAAATTATTTCGTAAAAATACTAAACTACCATTGGGTGTGGTAATAAGAAAAGATTTTTATAGCTGTTGTAGGTTAATCTTTTCAAATTTTCACAATCCGGTGTTCCAGATATTTGAATCCCTGATTAAAGTAAAGATTTCACCTGTAAATTATTTAATCATTTATCAAAAATTTTCAAAATCAAACACATAAATTACTCAGCTTACCCCCCAAAGCCTTAAAACATAACCTTATTAATGCAACCTTATCGTAATGAAAATAGCAGAAGATTAGCACAAAAATTTGTTCATCAGTCAACTGTAGTATTTCAATAAATAACATGCGTTTGCTCCAGATCCTAAATACTTTCATTTACACCGCCAACACAATTAATGCTATTCCTATTAACAAATCAAAGGTATGTGTTGAGAAGTTAAGAAAAGTTCAATACTTCAATCAAACATCAGACATAATCATTCACATAAATTTAGATACCTTTACACAAAACAGAACACTTATTGAAACACTTATTTTTATTAATGTCATCTGATCACAAAATAACAATAAGCAATAATTATAACAAAGACAAAAGTAACAAAGTGACGGTATACTCAGTGGTGTACCATCATATTATGATATACATATTGTATTGATGTCATATAAAAAATCATTAACCCACAGAGTATAACCTTTTTATACGTCTCAAGCGGGCCTGTTATGACAGATTTCGTGCCAGAAAGTTTTGATGATGTGGACAAGTCATAGATAATAATAATAATATGGCTTTATTAATCAAAAATAATGACAAAATAATTATACAAAAGCAATACGTAGGGCAGAGTTAGGAATCAAGTTCCTCTTTACCACTCAACCCTACAAACAAAAAAAGTAAATATATTAATAAAATAGAACAAATGAAAAATTAATAATATTAAACGAATCAAAATAAAAAAACAAAGTAATATATATTAATTGCAATACATATGCATGCGAAACTCAGCAACTATACGCCAGATTGTTCATCCATTAACATTTGTCGCAGTTTCTTCTTAAAGGTATTCAAATTTAGAGATTTCAAAGAGCCTGGTAGCGGATTATAATATTTAGGAAGGCAATAAGTGAAGGATCGTTCAAATAACGAGGTCTCGTGTTTAGGAGGTGTAATAATACCTCTATTTCTAATATTGATATTATGAATATATGTCCTGAATGATATTTTGCTATATAGATACGGAGGCTTCTTCAACATGAGAAGCTTATGATAGAATGATAACAAATGCAACTTTCTTCTGTTGGACATATTCAACCAACCAGCATCTATCAATTTATGAGACACATGATCATACCGTTTTAAACCGTATACAAGCCTAAGGCAAGCATCTGTACCCGCTGTACACGACTTACTGCAGCGCTATCCAGACAGGTACCAAAAACCTTGTCACAAAAAGTGAACTGACTAAGTACAAGGGTATCGCATAGTTTTAACAGTGTAGTTTTAGATACTGTGTGCCTAATGCCATAAATTAATTTCAACGTTGCATATGATTTATTGGTTTTCTGTGTAATATGTGTTATCTGAATCTAATATCTGAATCCTGATGCAATCCCATATTACGAAAACAGCATCCTACATTAAGTCGCTGACCATCAACTTCTATACTGAATTGAGGAGAAAGTTCTTCCCGCAAACCCCGCCTAGTAAAAAGCATCAATGCCGACTTGTATAGAACCCTGTGGCACACCCGCCGACACACTTCAAGACTCAGATATAGAGTGGTTTATCTCAACTTTTTGGTATCTATTGCACAAATAATTGTAAACCAATGAAATAGCATTAGCGCTAAACCCAACAAAATTTAAGACAGAACTTAATAAGGAATGGTTTACAGTATCGAAAGCTTTTGAGTAATGTAACAAAACTAACGCAGTCATATCGTTTTTATCAATCGCTCGGAGAATGTCGTCGGTAATATGCATTGACGCTGTTTCACAACCATAATGTTTACGAAATCCAGACTGATTTAGAGGTAGGATATTATAGCTGTCAATAAAAGTTCTAATCTGCCAGTCCATAACTTTCTCCACAACCTTTGCAAGAACCGGGAGAATGCTAATAGTTCGTAAATCCTTGTACTCTTGGGGATTAAAAATTTTTGGTAACGGAGTTACCAGAGTGGTCGTCCAACAGGAAGGGAAAACGCATTTCTCCAAACAGTAATTAACTATATACGTTAAATGTGGGAGTATAAAAGGACAACAGTACAAGAGCATTGATAACGAAAAACCATCATCTCCGACAGCATTAGATTTCATTTTAAGTAAATAACTTGCAACAACGTTTTCATGTACAGTTTCGAAATCAAAATACTTCTGAAATTCACATTTTTTGTTACTGTTATAAAAGTGCATAACATCACTTGAAGGTGCTCCCAATGAACAACCTGTCTGGAGAAAGTGGTTATTAATGCCGTTCGCATTTCTTAAATGCATGGGCAAAGTGTTTACTCTATTCCTGATTCCTCCGAAATCACGAACAACATGCCTCATCGCAGATGACACCCTTTTTTCAGTTTTTATGGCATTTGTTACATGTCTTCTCAACGTTTTATACTGCTCTAGGTCTGATACATTTTTTGTACGCTTATATTTAGCATAAGCTTTATTTCTAACCTTGATTTGGGGTGTAAGCCACGGAGCAGGTTCTTTTTGTAAATCTTATCGTTTGTAGTGGCGCATGTAAATCAAATAGATCATAGTAGATAAAGAATTAAAATAATTCATTTTTTCATCAATGCCATTAATTTCAAAAATTAATTCTAATGGTAATGATTCAAGATCTCTACTAAACAAATCGAGATTAAACCTCTTAAAGTCTCTATAGGTTCGAAATGTAGGAACACCGTTGGTACTAGCAATTTTCAAATGAGAGTGTACCAGTTCGTGATCTAAAAGTTCGGGTAGTGAATGTAAACCAACCAGGGTGAATTCTTCACATGAACATGCAGCAGTATCTATTCAAGTTTCGGAATTAAGTGTAATACGGCTTGGTTGATTAACAAATTGATCCAGACCAAACGACTTCAGCAAATCAAGGAAAATGCGTGAATATGTACTTTCAGGGTGCAACAAATCAATATTTATATCACCGGCAATAAATAGTTTATTACATTGTGGTATAGCTAAACTTAAAGATTCCTCGAGAGACTCAAACAATAATGGCAGACTTCCGGTCGGGGGCCTCTACATTACACGAAAAATATATTTAACTTTGTTAATAGTTACAGCGATCCATAACTGTTCTAAATAAAGACCGGATTTATAGAAAATATGCCTATGCTTAAAAATTAAGGCATGGAAAATCTGATTAGAAATCTATACGAATCAGATAAAAAGGAATATAATAACACCAAGTTTTTAACGCCTTTATTGCTTTTTTTGAAATTGTATGCCTATTATTGTTTTTCATGTTTGCTTTTCTTTTCATTTTTCGGCTTTTTTCCAAAATTTATTTAATTGCGAAAAAAATTTTGCTTCGCCACTGCATATTTGTTTCCTGATCGAATTCGTGCTATGTAATTCTCCGTGTATGCTGTCTGATGTGGGATTCCCCGTATTATTGATCGAGTCTTGTGTAATGTAAATGTAAAGTACATTTACGGTACAATGCCGATACAAAAACCCACTATAGAAGAATGGATTAAAAATTACAAAGAATTGAAATATGAACGCAACCGCTTGTTTTGCCAAGCGTGTTCAAAAATCGTAAGTATTACACTGAAAATTATAATATGTATTGATACTGCATTCGCTTTAAAGATTAAATGTGACAAGAAATACTACATAATTCAGCATGTTAAAACTTCATTGCATCAGAACAAACTAAAACTAATTGAAAGCCAAATCAAGAAACAACAAACAATGATAACAACTATGCAATCTATGGCATCAAGTTCCGGTTATACTGAACAATCAAAATTCAATTTTGATCTTTGCAAAACTCTGATTAAAGCAAATATACCTATTTACAAATTAAAAAACGAACATTTCAAAACATTTTTGGAAACATATTGCTCAATGCACATTCCTGATGAAAGCCATCTCCGCAAAAATTATATTAATTCGATGTACAAAAAATTGTTATAAAAATTGACATTTGTTATAAAAATTGTAATAAACGTGCAAAAAAACATGAAAACACTTTATTTTCAAATTTGGTAGTCAACCCCTCATAATTCTTGAATTAAGATATAGGGTTTTGATTTATGGGGTTGTGTTTGTTTTTTCATTACCTTTAAAATGAGGTAAATCTCGATAGGGGTTGCTATTTAAAAATGTAGGGGTGGTCATCCCCTAAAAAAAAACTCCACATTGCATGGAAGTTCTAAAGTATCTAAGAATGTAGTTTTTATGACTCTTTATTGATCCCCAAATTTTCTAATTTTTTTCTTCACTCGTTCAAAACTTATAGCTAAGTCCCGGGAGTTTTGGGAAACCCTGTATATGGATATGTGTACACGAAACAATAGATGCATATGGACGATACGTGGCAAATTTAATACTCGGAGTATTAAATGACGAACATTCCTCAAAAAGTTTTCTAATAAGTACGAAAGAATTAAGTAAAATAAATAATAATACAATAACAAGATCTATTCATGACGAATTGACACATTTTTTCTTACCGCAGAAGGTACCTAATGATAAAATTTTACTCATGTTGTCAGATGCAGGTGCATATATGGTGAAAGCTGCATCTAATATGAAGATTTTTTATCCGAATTGAATTCATTGCACTTGCTTAGCACACGGACTTAATGGAGTAGCTGAAACCATAAGATTACAATTCCCGTTAATAAATAAATTAATAAGATATGGTAAACAAATATTTGCTAAAACTCCTTTAAGGGTAGAATTGTTTAGAGATAGGTTACCAAATGCCCCATTACTCCCACAACCAGTTCTAACGAGATGGGGAACGTGGTTAGATGCTGCTGTATACTACAAAAATACGTTTGATAGTTTTAGAATATTAATAAATGAATTTCCAGCTACAGTTAGTAATGCAATACAAAATTGCCAAGCTGTACTAAAAGAAGAAGAATTACAAAATAATTTGGTATTTATAAAAACCAATTATAGTTATGTAAGTGACTCTATGAAGTCACTTGAGAAGCAGGATGATTGAAAAATTTCGAGACAGCACATATATTGTACCAGGACATATTGCTGAGATCCCAATGGTGGGGGTCGAATTTGAATTACCCTGTATATCTTGGTAGGTATCAACTTTATAAAAAAACATTTTATATAAAGATTGTTTAATATTTGATTTGCCATAATAAGACAGCATTCAATTGTTTTTATTTCAGAAAACAAATGAGTGACGAATAACATTTGAAGTTTTTTAAATGGCAATGTACCTTTTCGTTAGGCTCATTTGAGAGAGATATTTTTTCTCTTTACGATGACGTAAAATTTTAGTACCCTTATATCAGAAAATTTTTGAAAAAATATAGAAATTGTTTATTAAGAAAATTTAACTGATAACATTAATCCAGATATCCAAGATCGTCAAGTACCTCTAAGTAACTCGAATTATTGGAGATGTACACTAATTTGTGTTTTATTTTGTATGTAAATTTAATTTACGGTAATAATTCGAGGTATTTGACGATATCGGATATCTAGATTAATGTTATTGATTAATTTTTATTAATAAACAATTTTTACATCTTTTTCAAAAATTCTCAGATTTTCAGTAAAGAGAAAAGTAATCTCTATTAAATAAGCCTAACGAAAGGGTACATTGCCATTTCAAAAAATTCAAATGTAGTATTCGTTACTCATTTGTTTTCTGACTTAAAAACAATTGAATTATGGCAAATAAAATATTAAGCAACTTTTGTATAAAATGTATTTTTATAAAGTGAACATTTACCGAGATATATACTATATTCCATACATAATGGGCACCCTGTATTTATTATATTATTATACTATATTTATATACCCTGCTCAAAAAAATTAGGGAAACACTTTTTTCGAAATCTGTTACTTTTTAGATAATAGTTCTAGGCAAATCAAATAATAAAATTACAAAAACATTAGTTATTTCTAAGTTACACTTAAAAATGTAAATTAATAACGCAATACAAAGTGGAAACGACTCTCATAATATCGATGACAGTCGGGTTTTCTGTAGATTGGTGAGGTTTAATACTGTGTATCCTCACACCTACGTGGCATGCTTTGCACTAGGCTGCGAAGAGATTCTTCGGGTATGCTTTCACATTCCTCAGGACTTGTCAGTTCCTGTATGGTTAGTGGTGGATTAAGGCGCTTGCGAACGCGTCGGTCAAGCTGATCCCACACGTGTTCAATAGGATTCATTCCATGACCTGAATTCCACGTTCTTGCAAAAAGTTACTGGTGATGCCGTCAGTATGTGGCTTTGCATTGTCCTGCATTAGGCATTATTTTATATGAAGCAAGCACCACATGGTCCTCCAAGACGTTTTCGATGTAATTCATGGCATTTAGTCTAGCAGGAACAACAACAAGATCAGTTCTGTTGTCTATACAGATTCCAGAACAAACCATAACAAATCCCCGACCAAATCTATTCATTTCCTGTATAGCAGCGGCTGCGTAGCGTTCACCAGGGCGTCTATATACACGTACTCGACCGTCGCAACGAGTTAAATGAAATCTGGATTCGTCTGTAAACAGTAGTAGTAAACAGTAAACAGGACTTCGTCCAGTGACGAAGTTGTCAATCTCTGTGATCCAGAGCAAATCTCATTCGCGCTGCTTTGTGATGCTGATGCGGTCAGGTCTTCTAGGTTTCAAATTCGCTACTTTTAATCTGTTTCTAACAGTTTGATCAGAAATTTCTATTCCATGTGCTCGTCTTAGGTCGTTTAGGAGGTCTCGTGCTGTGGCAGTACGCGTACGTAGACAGGAAAGGACAAGAAATCGGTCTTGATTTTGAGTAGTTTTTCGATTTGACCTTGTCCGGCTCTTCTAACATGTTGGCCAGTCTCCCGAAACCGATCCCATAAACGCTGAATAACAGAAGGGGAAACTTGAAGATCCGTGCTAACATGTCGAACAGAGTGGCCATGTTGAATAAGGGCGACCGACAGCACGAGCAACTTGCATTTCACTAAGATGCCTCATGACACTTCTAATCTACGAAAATTGACAACTGCCTTTATTTGTCATCTTTAGTAGGCTTTCATTCGCGAATTCAAAGTATACTTGACATTCTTTCCACATTGTTTTGCGTTATTAGTTATTAATTTACATTTTTAAGTGTAACTTAGAAGTAACTAAGAGTTGTGAGATTGTTTTTGTAATTTTCTTTAGTTAAATATATGCCGTTGTAGCAAACCAAATTTGATTTGCGTAGAACTATTATTATTTAAAAAGTTACAGATTTCGAAAAAAGTGTTTCCCTAATTTTTTTGAGCAGGGTATATAAATATATAATAGTATAATAAATATACATACAGTATATATAAATGTATCTCTGTGTGGGTAGGACACAGTGATATTTAATTTTTAATACATAATGTATAATACAAGTAGTGCATTTTTGTTTGCTGGTCGAATAGTTGGATTATTCATTTGTTGATTTATTATTTTTCTTGTTAGGTCTGCATTTCGCTGTATTTTTAAGGGGATATGATTTTGCAAAATTAATGTCCGCGTAACCAGAAAAACCTAGAACACATCTAGAACAATTTGAATCTGCAAAGTTTGAGTTATTTTAGATTATTCTATGTGTTTTAATTCTTATTGTGTAATTTAAAACCACTGACGCAAGAATTACTGACTGAAACTTCCAAAAACTTTAATTTTCAAAGAGTAAAGTGTCCTTTATAGAGTGGTTCTAGTGAATATAATAGCTGTTCCAGATTGCTTTAGGTATAATAAGTATATAATTTGTAATATGGAATTGAAAATAGAAAGAGAAACTAGACATTTTGGCAGCCAAACCTATTTTTAGTTATAACTTCGTAATGATGCATCCCATAATTTTGATTTTCTAGACCAATAACTAGAACAACTAAAACAACCCAGAACAACAAAGAAAATCTGATTTCGCCAAAAATGGGGAGCTAGGCAAAAAGCCGTTTTTTCGGTTTTTTTCGCCGAGTTTTTATTTTTTCTATTTGCCGCTTTGGAACAATGTAGAACAACTCTAAAACAATCTAGAACAATAATGAAAAGTTTAAAAATCAAATAATGGGGGGGCAACTTCCCGCACTCCATATTTGTAGGCTTTTCGCTAACTTAGCCGGTTTGGCTAAGATAAGAGCAAAACAATTAAACCGATTTAGTAATTCTTTGCTTTACGATTATTTTTAATTCTCTCAAACTAATATGAAAATTATTATTTAAGACTATTATTATTATTATTAAAATCTTTATTAAGATTATTTAAAGATAACAAGCAGAATAGATATAGTTAAGAACTAGTCGTCGCCAGTTGTAATTAATCTTAACTTAGAAGAAATAAAAGTTATTAATAAAGAAATAATTATATTTCAATCTCACAGTGTATAACAAAATATTTTTTTGTTGATTTATATGATAATTTGGCAACACTGATGAACTGTCAAATCGAAACATAACCTATAAATATTTTCACGTGTATTTTGTATTTTAAAATATAGAAGATAAAAATGGGTAAAACAAGTAAGATTTTCTTTTATATTATCAATAAATATTCTAAATATGTATGTATATTTTTTTAGGTAAAATGGGTTTGGAAAAGAAAAAAGCTTTCAAAGTTGAAATGAAAAAAAAGCGAAAAGAACTTCGAGCAAACTTAAAATTAAAACGTGCTAAGTTAATAGTAAGTAACCTTCCCTTTAAATCAACGGAAGAAAATCTAAAAGAACACTTCAACAAACATGGAGAAGTAGAAAGTGTTAACATATTAAAAAAAGATGATGGTAAAATGGTAGGTTGTGCTTTCGTTCAGTTTAAATTAGTTCAAAGCGCTGCGAGGGCGAGACATTATCTAAATGAAAAAGATTTTTTGGGAAGAAATCTTGTGGTTGATTTTGCCAAACCCAAAAATAAATATAAGAAAGAGAAAAAAGTAAAAGAAACAGAATTAGTTGTAAAAGATGAGGATGTAATTGATTTAAGTACACTTAAAGATAAAGATGAAGTTAAAGAAGAAGTGTTAGACATTAAAACTGAAGATGAGTCTATTAAAAGCGAAAATGATTCTGTCAAAAGTGAAAATGACTCTGTTAAAAGTGAAGAAACGTCTGCTGAAAGTTCAGATGAAGAAGATATTGATGAAAAAATTGAAGAAAAACCCGATTTAAACAAAAAACCTCACATGGTTTCTCAAGATGTTTCAGAGGGTAAAACAATTTTTATTAAAAACGTTCCTTTTGATGCAACAAATAATGATTTAAAACAATGTATGTTACAATTCGGCCCTGTTTTTTATGCCTTAATTTGTATAGATAAATTAACTGAACACTCAAAAGGCACAGCATTTGTTAAATTTAAAAATAAAGAAGATGCAGAGAAATGTTTAGAAGCAAATGGAACCCACTATCTTCACGGAAACCTTTTAGATTTTCACTCAGCATTATCAAGGAATGATATAAACCAAAAAACAGCTAAAAAACCTAGATCTCAAGATTCCAGAAATCTTTATTTAGTTAAAGAAGGGGTTATTTTAGCTGGTACAAAAGCTGCAGAAGGTGTTTCAGCAACCGATATGGCAAAACGTCTTCAATTAGAACAATACAAAACACAAATGTTGCGAAATTTAAATATGTTTGTGTCAAGAACTCGTTTAATTGTTCATAACTTACCTGCAACTTGGAATGATGCAAAGTTCCATGCATTATTGAAAAAACATTCCAATGATAAAGCAATAATAAAAGAAGCTAGAATAATGAGAGATTTACGAAATGTTGATGCTAGAGGTGTTGGAAAATCAAAAGAGTTTGGTTTTGCAACCTTTGCAACTCATGAAGATGCCTTAAAAGTGTTACGTTCTCTTAATAATAATCCAAACATTTTTTCAGTAACTAAAAGGCCAATTGTTGCATTTTCGATTGAAAACAGATCAATTGTAAAAGGTAAAGAAAAACGATTAATGATATCTAGACACAAAAATCCAAAATGTAAAGATTTCAATCCTAATTTGATAAAAAAGAGACATGAATTTGATGAGAAAAATAAAGGTAATAAATACGAAGATTGGAAAGGTGATGTGGAAGCGCAGGAATTTTCAGGCGTTTCAGCTAAACCTGGTGTTAAAAAGATGCGAAGTAGATACAATTTGAAAGTTCAAGCAAAGTTACATTATGATAATATGAAAAAAGAGAAGAAGAAGAGCAAAAATGAAACTAAGAGTTTCGAGGAAAGGAAAAAAGATTTTAGGAAACAAGAAAAACAGAAGGTTAATCATAAACAAGAAAGTGATCATTTTTCTAAGTTGGTTAATAAGTATAAAGAGAGTTTAATTGTTGCTCAACCTGCAAAAAAATCTAAATGGTATGAATAAAAAGATTGTTGAAATTAAAGCTTCTCTTTTATTTAACCCATTCACCAAGTCTTTTATCACTAAGCCCGGAATATTTCGCACGCTGTAAAGGCTGCCACCAGCAAGCGCGGAATATTCGCGGGCATGCGACTGCAAGGGTGTAGATAAGGGGGAAAGAAAAGAAAATGTGTATTTTCATATATTTTTTTTAATTTACTACATTTATTTAAACTAAATCTAATTTAATTAATATAATGAACAAGAACAACGCCTCTTATATCCGAACCTACTTATTGTACCTCGAGATGCGAGCTGTTTCGTCGTCAAGCAAACCTGTAGGTATATTGTGTATGTAGGAAGCGTTGACAAGAATCGACTTGTTTAGAAGCAGATCGACTTTTTGTCGCCTACTTCGGTACTACTGCTCTTTTATGTTCGACGGAACAAAAAAATTCAAAGGCGTCCGTCTGGCGATTTGATCGTCTATAAATTCCGAATGCAATTTTTATTATTTAGTTTTTAGTCGACTGTAGCCAGCAAATTTAATGTTGTCCCGTATTATTATCGTTAATCCTTATCATTTAATTATATTAAAACACAAGATGAGTAAACGCACCCTCCAGAAGACAATAGACACGTTTGTAATACCAAAAAAAAAAACGAAACTGACGACACTCAAGATGACTTGGTAAATAAACTACACCTGATACGATTTCTGTGCTGCCGAATATCGAAAATAAGTTGGACGACATAAATGAAGAAAATCCTACTACAAACCATCCTCTAGATCCAATTTCGACACCAGGAACATCGCAATCAAGCGGACAGGCACAATATAGTGGTGACGTAGATATCGGCTATTACATTAAAAAACAACAAATAACAGATATGGAAAAATACAATATCTTAAAAAATGCTTTTGTACCTAACACCCACTATCAATTTCCCTATTCTGTTCATTGTAAAAATCAGAAAGACGTAAAATGCTTTTTATCAGTCAAACATTTTAGAGTGCGGTAAGTTAGCCCCCCATTTTTTGGTTTTTAAATTTTTTATTGTTGTAGATTGTTCTAGAGTTGTTCTACATTGTTCCAAAGCGGCAAATCGAAAAAATAAAAACTCCGCGAGAAAACCGAAAAAACGGGTTTTTTGGCTAGCCCCCCATCTTTGGAAAAATCAAATTTTCTTTGTTGTTCTGGGTTGTTCTAGTTATTGTTCTAGAAAATCAAAATTAGGGGATACAGCATTACGAAGTTATAACTAAAAATAGGTTTCAAGGATATACCAGTTGCACGAGATACCTGACGCAATGAAGTATTGGGGTTGATACCGAAATGACCCAACACTTCCAGTTGAGCGGTTTCATTCAAAACTCTCGACTCATTATGTTTTATGTTGGCAACGAACCCAGTCTGAGTGAATTTCTTCATGAGATTCAGGACGTATGTATGAGATACGTTCTTATCTGGATGCCTTTCATTAAAAACTGCGGCAGTTCGTCGAGCACATTCATTTTGGGATTCATACATTAATACAATTTCAATCCTTTCCTGCAAACTGTAAACCATTATTGCTGTTTTATTTAAATAACTTTGTTAAGTGGATAAACACAAAGTTGTTTAAGTAATAACCAAATAAACTTATGTTTAGAATTGCACTTTTATTTTATTCTTTTCTCGCACTGTGAGCCTCTCGTCTATAGAAAGAGAAAAATTTCGTCTCTTTTTTTCCTTTTTTTGGTCATTCGAGTCAAGAGTAATTTTCAAACAGGTTTAATGTAAAATACTTTCAATAAAATTTAGTTTAATTGATAATTATACTATTAATAACTAATAATTATAATATTGTTCTCCCAGTACGAAAATGGTTAGATAATACGTTTCCAAACAGATGGATAGGACGAAGAGGTCCTATAGAATGGCCAGCCAGATCACCAGATTTGACGTCATTAGACTTTTTTTTATGGGGTCATTTAAAGTCTGTTGTATTTACCCCTCAACCTCAAAATTTAGAAGAACTTCGTCAGAGAATTACTGCAGCTTGCCGTGGAATTCAAAGGGAAGTTTTTGAAAATGTGCGCCGTAGTTTTGAACAACGGTTGTACCATTGTTTAGCTAATAACGGACAACACTGAACAATTATGAAGTTGATTTTCTCTGCAAAAAGTTTTTGTACATAATTAATAATTAAATAACTGAAAATAAAATAGAACGTTTCAAGCAGTTAAAAGTTGTTTAAGTAATAACCAAATAAACCTAAAAGAAAAGAAAAATGAAACAGAAATCGTTTTTTCTATATATCTCTGACAGACGCCAGGCAAGCTAGCCAACGTAGGTATATCATTGTCAAAATAACCTAAATATCAAAGATTTCGGATTGCTCCGAAATAATAAAGGTTTAATGGTCGTTGTAAAAACGAACATGGTAATTTAATTTTATAAATTAATAATAAAAGATTACTTATTCTTGCTTTTAAGAAGGTGATTAAAGTTTTTAATATTAATTAAAGCGGGAAATACAAAACAAAGATTTTCGCAAAAATTTCGAAAACGAATCGATCAATTTAAAAAA